TAAGCAGCACTAAGATTATTTGTGAATAAAGTTGGTGCACCGGCATGTGAGACACCCAGTTTCGCTAACAAGTGTTTGACCCAAAGAATTTCAGCAGTGGCATTTGCAATAGCATGATACTCGGCTTCCGTAGACGAGCGAAAGACAGATTTCTGAAGGGCGGACTTCCAAGATATGATATTAGAACCAATATAAAGAATATATGCTGTGGTGGAATGCCCTGACTCCCCTGAGGTAGTGGAGCCACCCTAGCCAGCGTCGCAAATGCTGTGAGTGATAAGTGAGAGCTAGACCGAATATATAAGCCATGACATGGAGTTCCCTTGAGATATCATAATACTCATTTGACAGCTAACCAGTGAGCATCCGTAGGACCATGCATATATTGGGCCGGGAAAGCCCATTAACTTCAAAGGAAATGCCTGGATGTGTGTGGCCAAGATATTGAAGAAGACCAAGTAAGCGATGATATTCAGTAGCATCCACAGCTTGAGAGGGATTGGCCGACGGAAGACGCTCATGAGAGGCCATAGGAGTAGAGACCGGTTTGGCGCCATCCATGTGAAACTTGACCAAAATGTCAGAAATATATTGAGATTGGGATAAGAACATACCAGATGAAGTAGAGACCACCTCTATGCCAAGAAAGTGGTGAAGTGGACCCAAATCCTTTAAAGAGAAGTGAGCAGCAAGTAACGTAACAAACTGATCAAGGAAGCGGTCATCATTCCCGGTGAGGACAATGTCATCCATGTAAACTAGAAAATACATGATGACACCATGGGAAGTGTATACAATAATGATAGGTCAGCCTTTGACTTGCAAAATCTGAACTTGACCAAGAAAGTAGAGAGTTCAATATACCACGCCCGCGGGGCTTGCTTGAGTCCGTAAAATGCTTTGCATAGACGACAAATATGAGTTGGATGATGATGATGATGATCAAGATAACCTGGAGGTTGATATAAATATACAACTTCATGTAAAGTACCATTAAGAAAGGTATTGTTGATGTCCAACTGACGAATAGACCACCCATGATTTAATGCCAAAGATAAGATGATACGAACCGTAACTGGTTTCATAACCGGACTAAAAGTCTCAGAGTAGTCACGACCAGCCTCTTGAGAATATCCTTTTGCAACCAATCAGGCTTTATAGCGGTCAACCGAACCATCGGGTTTGCATTTGACACGAAATATCCATTTACATCCAATGGTGTGTTGTCTCGTATTGGGGACGAGGTCCCAAGTATGATTCTTTTGAAGGGCGGTAAATTCATCATCCATGGCGAGGCGCCAGAGAGGGTCCTTGAGAGCTTGAGTGACGGTCCGAGGTTTAATAGTGGGGACTGGAGTATGGATAATAGAGGTGTTGATATAAGAAGGGCCATAATATTTGGGGTTAAGTTGTTTTTGGCGTTTGGAACGTGGAGAGGTTGACGTTATGTGAGTTGAAGAAAACGATGCATGGGATGCATGAGGCACAAGTTGACTCGAGGTGGAGGAGGGAGGAAAATTAGGGTCATGAGTAGTGGGTATTGACATAGGTGAGGGAGGTTTTATTTGAGAGAGTGTGGTAGAGAAAATATACATGATGAAGGGATATGAGTTTGATTTGGTGGGGATGATTGGGTGGGAAAGATGAGTAGGAATAGAATTGGGGGAATTATGTGTTAGGGGAATTAAATTAGGAGATAAGGGCGGATTTGTAGGAGTGAATGTTGACTGAAAGGGGACACGTGCATGGGAGGCAGCCTGAGACGTAAGGATAGATGTGGGAGTTATTTGGGAGGAGGAGGTGGATGGATAAATATGAGGTACGAAATTGACATGACGAGATAAGAACAAGTGGTGAGATGTGATATCCAAGCACTTGTAGGCTGATTGGGAGACTGAATATCCCCAAAAAATACACGAAGTAGACCGATGTTGGAGTTTGTGTGTAGTATAAGGACATAACCACGGATACCAAAGGCAGCCAAAAGCCTGTAGTTTTTTATAATTAGGAATTTCTTGGAATATGAGAGCATATGGGCTGTTATAATTTAGTAACGGGATAGGTAGATGATTGATAAGATAGACAACAGTTTGAAAAGCGTGAGGCCAAAAGGTAAGTGGAAGGGAGACAGTATGTAAAAGAGACAGTCCAGTTTCAACAATAGGGCGATGATGACGTTCTGTCGTGCCATTATGTTCGGGAGTGTGAGGCGGGGTGGTAAGATGAGAGATGTCTTCCAAATTAAAAAAGGGACAAAGTTTTATAAATTCACCCTATTATGAGAAAAAATAGTCATATTTTTTTATTAAATCGGTTTTCAATCAATCGCTTAAATTGAGGGAATATAGTGGACACATCAAGTTTTTGCTTAAGTGGGTATAACCAACTGTATTTAGTGAAGTGATCCACAAAAAATAACATAATAAAGATAACCATCAGATGAGACTTGACGAGTACTCCAGACATCAATATAAATTAACTCAAGTGGATGATTACTAGTAAGAGAATTTATGGAGAAAGGTAATTTATGACTTTTATTAATATTGCAAGAATTACAATAAAAATCACTAATTGACCGAGAAGAAATGGCCATATTACATTTATTGGCTAAAGTCACTAGAATTTTATTTGAAGGATGACCCATGCAGTGATGAAATTGAGAAACAGACGACAAATTAGTTGCATGAACACAAGGAGGTCTGGACGTAGGTGCATAATAAACTCCACTTTTGTTTTCACCCCTCAGAAGCGGGCTCTCGGTGATTTGATCCTTGACAAGAAAATAAGACGTAAAAAATTCAGCAGAGACGTTATTAGTATGACAGAGTTGGGAAACTGAAACTAAATTTTTGTGGAGTTGAGGTACACACAAAACACGAGTGAGTGTAAGAGGACGAGTAGGGGTGGACACTAGAGTTTGACCAATATGTGAAATAGGAAGGGACATACCATTGCCAAGGCGGATTTCATCTGGACCGTCATAAGGTGAAAACTCATGCATATGACCCATGCTGGAAGTCGTATGGTGAGAAGCCTCGGAATCAAGCATCCATTGGGAAGAGGTTCCATCCACACGTGTTGATGTAGAGTTCACAGTTGGAGAAACAGAGGGTGTTGGGAAGTCATTGCGCTAGCTTGCGGCAATCCCGAACAATGTGACCAGGAAAATTGCAGAAACGGCAAATCGGGAAGGACCTGCCTTGTCCACTAGGTTGAAGGAGAATGACCATGGAAACCATTCTGAGATGTGGTTCGTTGCGCTGAGAATGACGGAGAACTTTGTTGCATGGTATCTCCGGAAGAGGGAGAATGACGTTGCGTGACATGAGCAGTAGGTATCAACGTATTGGTAGCATCATCTGAATCTTTAAGAAACCGTTCATGATCGGTCAAAATTTGAGAAAATTCAATCATGGATGTCTGAGTTGCGGACTCAGAGAGCACTGATAATTGAACGGTAATCCTCACCAAGGTGATTCAAGATGGAAAGTTGAAGCTCGGTGTCACAAACCGGACTTTTCGCCAAGGGAAGTTTTTCTGCAATGTCCTGCATATCTTTAATATAGTCAGAGATCGACCGTGAGCCCCGGGGATTCCGTGAGAGCTGGCTCTTGAGTGCCAAGATCCGACCCAGAGAGGCATTCACATAGCTATTGAGAAGAGTGTTCCAAGCCTCTTTGGTCGTGGATGCAGAAGAAATTAGCGGCTGAACCGCCCCGGAGCAACTGCCTATGAAGGCACCAATAAGGATGTGATCTTGAGGGAACCAGATTGAATAGCAGGGATTGGGGATGTGTTTGTCAGCATCAGAAAATTGTGAGGGAACAATGAGTGTTCCGTCCACGTATGACTAGAGATTGAAGCCAACGAGTGTTGCTTCAACCTGCCGATGCCAATCTGGAAAGTTGCCTGAAGAAAGCTTGGTCGGGAAATTGGTTGGGGCATTGAGTTGGATAATGTATATAGTTGGAGTGATCTTCATGATAGACGAAAAACAAAGCGGGATAAAAAAGTTAGAAGAAAAATTCTAAAGCTCCAATAACATGTAAAGTAAATGTGAAGAAATAATTCTCATTACTTACAATTGGAGAATACACAGATATAAATAATACAGAGAGAGGGATAGAGTTTGACTACAACTCTACATATAAGGTTGTTGTAACATCCATGCTAAGAGATATATACAAGTAATGATTATCATAATAATAAATAAATCAAATATTATCCTTTACACAGTCCTTTATCGTGTATTTCTTTTTTCTACTTAATTCTTATCATACTCAAATTTAGCTTATTATTTTTTTGTAAAAAAAAAGCTTATTCATTTTTTTGAATAAAAAAGTGTTTTCTATAGTAATATCAAGAAATCATACAAGACAACCTCCAAATAATTACAACAGATTCAATGAGTAATTTTAAGCCTAAAATGTTTGGGACTGAAACACCGCATATCAAAAGTACTCCAAATATCCAAATCAAACCTACTCGAACTAAAATAAAAACAAGTACTACACAAAACTCTTCCTGGTAAGGAGGTGATTCGAGAAGATGACGAGCCGGCGCCACCCCTGCTGAAATCAGTCCAGTAAAAACATTAAATCTTTCGATAATTTCGAAGGCAATTTATTATTTTTAATTCTACTCCCTCTGTCTCGATAAGATTGTCCCATTTTACTTTTCGATCTATCCCACTAAGTTTGTCCCACACAAAATTTGATAAAGTTTGTGAGACTCTAAATCATTCTCACTTTATTAATTGGGGAAAATAATTAAAATACCCCAAATTTTGAAGGGATGTGAGATAAATACCCTGAACTTTCATATGTAATTTAAATACCCCAAACTTTATATAAAAAGTTATTTTAACATCATGGTTATGTATTATTTCTTTCAAAAATGTAAATTTATGGTGTTAAATGCATAATTAACACCATAAATTATTGTTCTGATCTGCATTTTGGGGAATCATCATGTCTCAAAATAAAATGACAAAATATTATCGGCATTGAGAGTACGAGAATCTTATCTTAAAAGAAAAAGTAAACTACGCAAGGAACCCTAGTCACGAAGATCTTAAATTCTGAAAGCAAGCTCAGCTCTGACTTCTCATCGCCTCCAATTCCTCGCCTCTATCGTTCCTTTGCCTTTTGCAGGGAAACCCCCCCACAGCCTGCCCATCATATCGCTACAACCACCCAATTATCACCGGAATCACATCTGACGATTTCTCCAAACCGCAACCTCGACGTCCCCACTTCGTCTGCGGCGGCGAGCCCCTCCCCTGCCAGGAAAACTTCTACTCCGTACTAGGAACCTTTCTCTTTGGCGAGTTGGTGATTCATAGGGAGTGGTACACAATATGCAGGTCGATTTCTTTACCGTCCCTCATTTAACATATTGCGGTAAATTCGTTCATTGTTTTGAATCTATTTTGACCAGAAGACATAAGTATATGTACAAAAGGAAACTCAAAAGTAGCAAATTTATTTACCCCCAATAGATATACTTCCCTTGCCCCATTGGAGTTTAACAAATTAAGAACTGTGTTGTTTAAGTTTGTATAGAGGAGAGCAGGGCCGGTCCTGTCAATTTTTGGGCCTATGGGCGGTACTCTATTTTGGGCCTATATCCATTACAAACAATAAATCATATTTGGGCAATGAAGTTCATAAAATAAAGACGAGAATCACTTTATTATTATATAAATTACATATTTGGTCAAAAGTAACAACACGAGTATTGAATAAAAAGAAAAAACATTACTTAAAAACGTTTCTCGTAGACCAATGTGAAGCAAATCATTAATAATTGCTTCATATGCAACCTTCTTTCCACTAATAAATATGACAAACAATAAAATTGCCACATATAACAACAGTAAACTTTATGTTGAAAGGATAAATGAAAAGAAATATTACCACATATTGAATTCATAATTGAGCATGATTTATTAACCGATGATGAGAGTCTAAAGTTTGAAGTCTCGAAAGAATGAAGGTTTTCAAAGAAACAAAATGTTTGACTGTCAAGAGGACTCGCGCAAGAAGATTGCAAATTTGACGTCCTCTAAAACTAATATTAGGAACTCAGATATAGCTTATTGAAATTTGGAAAGAAATGAATAATTGGGGTGAAATCTGAGAGAAACGGGCTTTAAAATAATTATATAAATTTGTTATGTTATAATTAAATTGAATAAAAAACCTTAAAAGTTAAAAAGATGTGAGGACTCGAGAGACGTGTCTTTTATTTATGCAGCAACAATTGTATTGCTTTTAAAAACTACAACCGATCCTGCTAAAAATTAATGTATATAATCTGTTTTAAACTTGTTCCTGTTTAAGACTCTTTATTTATGTTTTAAATTTTCAATTTGTCAACAAAATTAATCATTAGGCCTAATTAATTGAACTTAAGAATAAAAAAGAAGCCTACTCACAGTATATATAAAGAAAAAATTTTGGGCCTATTTTTTCTTCTATTTTTTTCGGGCCTAGGGCGGTCGCCCCTCTTGCCCCCCCCCTCAAAACCGGCCCTGGAGGAGAGAGAAATGACAAGAATCTAGAGAGTGTTAGTTACTTTAAAGGGAAAGGGATAAAATTTTCTGGACAACTAGGAAAGGAAAGTCGGGAAAGTCCAGTGGAACTGGAAAACCATATAATAATATCATAATAGAGCTAAAATTAAGATTTTGCAATAATAATAAAAAGTGTACTATCAACCTCTGCTTGTGATAGTTTTATATAGGAGATGTGGAGCCTACTAATGTTGTGAAAGTATGTATTGTCCATTTCCTCTCTCATATGCCATAATAACACCTTGTGGCCTCCCATGTCTTGAGAAGACAAAATATAGATATTGAACATCCTCATCAAGTTTCAAATCACATGCTTGCACCGTAGTGCATCTGTGAGTTATTCTTGGCGGGCTAATGATTGAATGCATTGTCGGAAGCTACTTTGTTGTTAAATACATATAGAAATATAGATGTATCACAACTTTCTGGATATAGTCCACTTTGGTCTGGATTAATTGCATAATTATTAGTTAGAAAAGATAATACCTTCAATGATCAGATTGAGCTCAACAGGGAATCAGGGAATGCTTTTTGTTAGAATTAGTGTGCAGGTTACTGTCAATGTTTGTGCTTAACATGGACATGCTTTTGGGATTTGGGCTATAAGAAATAGAGAACAGCTTAGGCTTGACTTAGGACCTCATTCTTTTCTCATGTATGGCCATTCATCTAATTGCACTCCCCTGAAATTTCTGTAATGATATCAAGATATAGAAAAATATGGTTTGAAAGGTATTCTGGTTGTTTGATTTGATAAGCACCATAATTATTATGACAATATGACTATGCGAGGTCAACAAGGTCATGGCCTCAAGGCTGAGCCTCTAAGAAAGTAGATCTTTTTATATTTTCAGTATAACATGTAAGTAACATGTAAGTACCTCATTGGTTATTGACTTTTAATGCATGAAGCCCTCCATCTTATCTACAAACTAAGCGTATTTGTTTCCTGTAATTAAAAAATCGCATCAAATTCCTTGTGTTATGAACTTATGATTAACCATGCAAGTAATACCCTAAAAAAAATTAACCGTTGGATAAAATAAAAGTATTTAGTATGTATATTCAAAACCTAAAAACACAAAAAATTTCAACAAACAGTGAAATACAATGAAATATCTCGTTTGGTAAAGAAATTAGTGAGCAACTAAAGTATTTATATTCTAAAAATGTTATTTTCTTAAAAGCTGTTAGATGTGTACTATATTTCCTACAAGCGTGTCGCTATGAAGTTTGCACACACTGTGCGTGCATCTGACTCTTGGAGGGTTGTTATGAGACCTTGCTTATCATGAACACTTCTTAAAAAGCGAGAGCTTGTAATCATCACCTTTCATATTTGTAACCAATGGAAAATTTTCACATAGTGGTATTTTGTAATTTTCTTAGAATAATTGCACCATAATATATGACCAGTGTAAATTCCCATAAATTTTCCTAAACTATTTCAGAATTGTTTTTAGTTTAATTCTGTATGCTTTATTACAGGCTTCAAGAGCAAGACTTTTCAAAGAGTACAAAGAGGTGCAGAGGGAGAAAGCAGCGGATCCGGACATACAATTAATTTGTGATGATTCCAATATTTTTAAGTGGATGGCTCTTATAAAGGTGAGTTCTTTTTCTTTAATAAAAAAGATAAGCTACGAAATTCATATTTTCTCTTGAAGTCAATTTCTTAATTTATGCTTTTGCATAGGGTCCATCTGAAACTCCGTTTGAAGGTGGAGTTTTTCAGCTTGCCTTCTCTGTCCCAGAGCAGTATCCTTTGCAGCCTCCTCAAGTGCGGTTCTTAACCAAAATATTCCATCCAAATGTTCATTTTAAGGTACATTTGATTAACTTGGTGTACATTTCATCATCCATAAGTTACTCGGACTGCTTGGTGTAGGGCGCAACTTAGGGACAGGGCCCTCAACTTTTAAAGCATAAGTTTTATGAGAACATCTTCTGTATTTCTATGTGGAGACATCTTAATGGGTATTTTTCAGGTAGTTTATCGGTACTAAATTTACAAGAATAACAGTAAAACTAATTGATATAGTATCGGAGTATTGTTTGCTACTAAGAAAGGAATTGAAAATTGAAAACTCTAAAGAAGTTGTGGAGAATTTGAGATAAACTTTCAAGGGAATGCAAAAGGACAATTCTGAATAGAAACATGGATGACAGCCTTGGGGCAAGTAGCTGACATAAGTGGGTCACTAGTCATGCGGAAAATTAATGAAACTATAATTTTTTTATATGCTCATATTTGGTAGGGGTGCTACCTAGCACCAATGCCACAGGCTCAATGTTTACTCAATTCAGTAATGGTGAGGCTTGGTTTATGAACACGATGAGCTCAAATTAAGTTAAGTAATTAAGTTTAAGGTTGGTTCGTAGTCATTTTATTTCCCTTTAGACTCAACGTGCTAGAATTGGATAGTTTAGCTCAAGCTTGAGCTGTTGATAAATGCGTCCTTGAATAACCTTGTTGAAATGATAAAACTATACTACTCTTTAAACATGTATCATCTGTACAATACTACAATTTACCCCTATATTGCAAGTGTTTGATATTATTATAAAACAACAAAAAGCTATTTTGTCGATTACCACCTTGTTTGACCCGATATGAATCGTCATATGAACTTTAAATTTGGCTCGTGTTCTGACATCAAGAGTTGGATGCTCTTCAAGCTTGGGTTACAAGACTTATATTAGTTATTTGTGAAGATCGAGCTCGAATCACCAGATAAATGTTTGTTATAAACCCTATCTACGACTCAACAATAGAAGAGGAAATTAGTTCGATGGTATAGTGACAGAGACTAGAGAGCCAATCAGTTGTGTTTGAGTTTGTTGAATATGATGCTCTTGTTTATTTAAAATACTCTCCCATCCAATTATAAGTTATAACTCACTTCTTTTTTAGTTTGCTCCATATTTATGTCAACATTTTTTCAAATACCACTAACTATCTACCTTCCAGACTGCCTTTTATGGTTTCAGTGATTGACCCATTCACATAACTTTTTATGATTTATACAAACTAGTGCGGAATAAGAATAATATTATTGTGGAATTAACTTGGGAAATTGCTCATGTATCCTCTATTTCTTTGATATCTACGTGAGAAGTAATAAAGAGGTAAGACTGCTTAAATGGGATGTGGGGTGTAACAAACTTTTATTTTTTTTTAAAAACAAAGAAAATCAAGCTCATTCATAAATCTGTATTTAATAAACCAAACATGGAGGAAGCCGGATCACAAGTGGACCCCGATCCGTGGGATGTTAACACCAATTTAATATGGCCAACACTGATAACAATAATACTCCATGCGTCCCATTTCATAAGATACACTTTCCGTTTTGGGTTGTCCCAAAAATATTAATACTTTCCGAATTGAACTCCACTAACTTTTTACTAATAGAAGAAGAAGAAGATAAGAGATGAAACTGTTTCAGATTAATTTCAACAATGAACTGAGTACAAGTATTTATACAGTTGGTTATAAGTCTAACTGACTCCATAACAACCGGGTCCCCATCTAGTATACTGTTTAGGATAATCCTTCTAGTCTATTACATGATATGTATCTAACATTCCCCCCTCAAAATTAGGGTGATTGGTTTGACAACTCAATCACACTAAGTTTTGTTTTTAAATCAAGAAATCTGGAACTGGAGAGTGGCTTGGTCAGTATGTCTGCAATTTGATGAAGAGAGGGAATATGATAGACTTGGAGTTGCTTGAGCAGAACTTTTTCTCTGACAAAGAAAAGATCAATTTCCATGTGCTTGATCCTGGAATGCAAAACAGGATTGTGAGACAGTTGAACAGCACTGAGGTTATCACAGTATACTCTGGGACTAGAAAAGGGGACTTGAAGTTCTTTTAGTAGAAATTGGATCCATAAGAGTTCTGCAGTGGTGTCTGCCAGACTCCTATACTCTGCTTCTGTTGAAGATCTTGCAACCCTAAGTTGTTTTCTTGACCACCAGGAAATGATGTTGGTTCCAAGAAGTATGCATGAGCCAGAAGTAGACTTTCTGTCATTGGGATCAGATGCCCAGTCAGCATCACAGTAGGCTGATATTGGTAGAGGTATAGAAGACAAGGAAATAGGTCTGATGACAATTCCATGATTTGCACTTCCAGAGAGATATCTGAGGATGTGTTTCATTGCATTCCAGTGCTCCTGCAGTGGTTCTGCCATGAACTGGCACACTTTGTTGACAGCATAGCAGATATCTGGCCTAGTCAAAGTTGCATACTGTAACATTCCAACAATGGATCTATACTGGGAAGGATTTGAGTAGTAATCACTGCCTTGTTTCTGCAGTTTGCAAGTGCTCACCATAGGTGTCATAACTCCCTTAGATTCAAGCATGCCAGCTTGATTTAGAACATCTCTGATGTACTTAGCCTGTGATAGGTGAAGACTGCCATCTGGGAGCTTGTGTGCTTCTATTCCAAGAAAGAAATCAAGCTCTCCCAAGTGTTTTAGAGAAAATGAGGAATGGACTTTGTGAATGAGTTGAGTTATGGCTGCTGAATTGTTCCCTGTGACCAGGATATCATCAACATAGATAAGAATGTAAATTTGGACTGTAGAGGATAGATAGATGAGTAGGGAAGGATCAGATTTGCTTTGTTTAAAACCAGTAGTGATAGAGTATTAACTCCTAGATTCTAGAGAGAGGTGAGAGCTAGAGAGAGAAGTGCAATAATATGCTTCAATAGAATGAATTTGTCACCCCTATAACTACTCCCAAGGGGAGTATTTATAGAGAAAATTAGGGTTGGGCTCCCAAGCCCAAGGCTTGGGAGGCCCATTTACAACTGGACCGCTACTGGGCCGGATACAAAGCCTCTAATGGGCTGTACAAATGAGTAAGTATAGGATCCGATTCTGGGAGGTCTTCGTGGCCGACGAGGGCACGACCGACGAGGGCACGACCGACGAGGGCACCCGAGTCCCTTAGACTCAGGACCGTAATCTGAGTTGGCACCTTTTCGGCCGACGGGGGCGTCATGGCCGACGAGGGCGCCACTCTGTTGTCTTGTGCTCTGTTCTTCCGAGTATGTGGGTCATGGGGCTCAGACCCATATACTCCATCAAGTAGCATAAAGAACTGAGGTTAGTTTTTGAAACCAAGCTCTAGGAGCTTGTTTTAAGCCATATAGTGATTTGTGAAGTTTACAGACCAGAGATGTGTCTTGAACTTCAAAACCTGGAGGTTGAACCATGTACACTTCCTTATCTAGTTCACCATTCAAGAAAGCATTGTTAACATCTAACTGCTGGATGGACCAATTGTGTGAAATAGCAATGGTAAGTAGGATTCTGATAGTGATAGGCTTCACAACTGGAGAAAATGTTTCCCCAAAATCAAAACCAAACTTTTGATGAAAGCCTTTAGCCACCAATCTAGCCTTGAACTTGTTTAGAGAGCCATCAGGGTTTTCTTTGACTCTGTAAATCCACTTGCATCCAATAGCATGCTTATCTGGTGGAAGAGAAACAAGAGTCCAGGTTTTATTAGCAATCAAAGCATTATATTCAGTATTCATGGCTTCAAACCACTGTGGAGAAGAGAGAGCCTGTTTAACTGATTTAGGCTCAATATGAGCCAACAGTAAGGTAGGATGAAGTCTTGGTTTTACTATGCCTGACTTTGCCCTTGTCCTCATGGGATGAGTATTGACAATAGGAACTGAAGGAGGTGGAGTAGTTTGGTGAAAGGAATCAGATGAAGAAGAATGAGGGTTAGGTGAGGAGTGTGATTGATGAGATGTGTTAGGAGGATATTCATGAGATGAGGATTGTGATTCATGAGATGTGTTTGAAGGGTGGTTTTGAGAAGATACAGAGTCAGCACTTGAGGATTCAGATTCAGATTCAGAGAAGCTGGGAGGGTGAATGAAGGTCCGAACACTAATAGGTGCAGAAGGATGATGTAGATGGAGGTTAGAAGAAGAGTCAGATGAAGTAGGTTTGAACAAAGTAGGATAAGGAAATTTGGTTTCTTGAAAAATAACATCTCTGGAGATGTAAATTTTCCCTGAGGATGATAAGCATTTATAGCCTTTGTGACTAGGTGAATAGCCCATGAAAACACACTCTTCAGTGTGAGGGTCTGGTGAAAGGGTAGCAGGCACATCCAAAAACCTTGAGAAAGGTATAGTCTGGAACTGATTTATGCAGTTTGAAGTATGGACTGGAATTGGAGATTGACTTAGATGGTGTTCTATTTATCAGATGAACAGATGTAGCAAAAGATGCATCCCAGAATTTAAGAGGCAGGTTTGAGTGAGACAGAAGAGAAAGGCCCTTTTCAACAATGGTACGATGTTTTCTTTCTACAACACCATTTTGATGGTGCGTATGAGGACAAATAACTCTGTGTATAATGCCTTTTTCAGTGAGAAGTTTAGTGAAAGACCTAAATTCACCACCCCAGTCAGATTGAATGGACTTTATTGAGGTAGAAAACTGGTTCAGAACATATTGAGAAAAGTTATTAAAGGCTGTAAGAGCATCTGATTTTCGTTTGAGAAAATAGATCCAAGTGTATTTAGTATGTGCATCAATGAATGCTATGTAGTAGTAGTATCCATCAAAGGAGGAAATGGGGGCTGGTCCCCATAGGTCTGTAAACACTAACTCAAAAGGATGGTTGTATTCAGTGGTGGAAGAATAGGAAGGTAACTTATGTGCCTTACCCATGCAACAAGCAGAACAAAAATCAATCTCCTTTTTATTGATGTTTGAAATATTACATTGCTGAAGAATAAGTTTCAGAGCCTCAAAGTGAGGATGACCAAGCCTAAGGTGCCAAAGATTACAAGTTGAAATAGGACTACAGGACTTGGCATTATTACAAGTAGATAACAAAGCATTAGACTTGGAACAGTGTGAAGAGAACATAGAAGTTTGGCTAGTAGATGTAGGACTTTGATGTGAACCAACAGCAGGAAAGGATTTGAATCTATAGAGACCATCTTCTCCCAGAATTCCATGTAAGAGGATTTGTTTAGAACCCTGAGATTTCACAAAGCAATCATAAGGATAAAATTCAAAATAGACATTGTTATCCTTAGCAAACTGACTAACACTGATCAGATTTTTGGTTATTGCAGGCACATGTAGAATATTTCTGAGAGAAAGAGAAATAGAGGACTGATAAGGGGAAGGAAAGGAAGTAAAACCAATAGACTTGATATCCAAACCTTGACCATTGACCATAAAGAGTTTATCAGTTGTAGTGATAGGCTCACTATGCTGCAGGTTGAGGGGATCTGCAGTGACATGGTGAGTGGCTCCTGAGTCAGGAAACCAAGTTTGTGGATGAGGCCCAAGAATAGAAGTGTTGGCAGTAGGTTGATTTTGTTGATGAGTAGCATTGGGTTGATATTGGTGTTGTGTAGGAGATGGTGAAGTATGGTATGATGATATCTGATCCCAGTTGAATTGTGGCTGAGGAAACTGTGACTGAGGATAGTTAGATCTTTGTGGAAAGGTATTAGGATATGGTGGTTGAGGATTAGGATTGGGAAAGGTAGAATGTTGGCTATAGGAATTTGAGGGAGTAGAATTTGAAGCTGTGTAGGCTGGATTGTAGCGGTGATAGCATATCAATGCATGGTGACCTGGTTTTCCACAAACTTGACATGTGACTGAATAGCGACCTCCAGATCTTCCTCCTCTACCTCGGTTGAAACCTCCACGACCTCTTCCTCGATAAGAGTTAGGGTTTTCATTATTGTTAAACTGAGCAAGTTGAATCGAAGCATTGTCTGGAGTATTTTCACTTGCAGATTGATTAGTTGTGGACGTAACCTCCAGACGAGCTACATTAGCAGACAATAGATTTGTTTGAGACGATTCACGAAGTTTCTGCAATCGTACCTCTTTGGCAGACAAAAGAGATTCGACTTCCGACAAAGTAGGAGGGTCGAGAATGCTACGAGAGGAAATAGATGATGCTAGGGATTCATATTCCTCCGGTAAACCTTCTAAAATCACATTGATGTGTTCCTTAGATGTTATCGGTTCGCCAATAGAGAGGAGATTATCAGCGATGGTTTGGATCTGTAGAAGGTACTCAGAAATGGTACGTTCACCTTTGGCAGTAGTATACAGTTCTGATTTCAACTGTCTGGCCTTCGCAACTATACTTGCTCTGAAGAACGTGTTGATCTCATTCCAGAGCTCATATGAATGACTGCAATGGATCACTCGTGCATGAAGCGATTCAGACAAGGATGCAAGCAACCACGAGAAGAGCATTTGGTCTTGTTGTTCCCAGGTAAGATACAATTCATTTACGTTTCCAGCTTCTTCATCAGCACTGGAGAGAAATTGCTTCGGAATTTCTGGTTTGATGATAAACCGAAGGAGTTTGTGTGCACGAACGATTGATTCAACGTGATGCTTCCAAAAGATGAAATTATTAGCATCAAGCTTGATCGGAAGTTGATGTGCGAAAGTAACGATGGAGGAAGAATTTGTGGAGGTAACAGAATCTGAGTTAGAGGACGCCATTATTGGATCGATCTAGAGCATGTGCTCTGATACCATAATAGAAGAAGAAGAAGATAAGAGATGAAACTGTTTCAGATTAATTTCAACAATGAACTGAGTACAAGTATTTATACAGTTGGTTATAAGTCTAACTGACTCCATAACAACCGGGTCCCCATCTAGTATACTGTTTAGGATAATCCTTCTAGTCTATTACATGATATGTATCTAACATTTACTTTCCCACTTTATCCCTTTATCTACCATTTTACTTTCTCCTACTTTTTGTGGATCCATTTTACTTTCTCTTACCTTTTGAAGATTAGAATTGTAAAAAAACCACATCATCCTTTATTTTCTTAAAACCCATGCCAATCTCACATGTATTTTACATTATGGGATGGAGGGAGTAATATGCAAATAGGTTTTAATCCTTTTTGGATCAACAATATTATTTAGTTACCCGGTTTGTTCATTTTCAAATAATCTTGGCATGATTGTCTTTCAAGAATGAGATGTGGAACTTTTCACATAATATATCTTTTATATAGGCATTGCAGTTTTATTAGATAAGAAGGCAAGGTTTAAAATATACTCCTTCCAAAACCAGGATTTACTGGGTTGGGTTTAGCTGGCTCAGCTGGGTTTTCACATATTTTGGCCTATCCTGGGGTTTCATGTTGGCCGGCCTACCCAGCCTACTTCGGTTCTTTTAAGCATAGGCATAAACCAAAAAAAGCTATATACATCACTCGAAAGTAAGATCTGGGCCCTCTGGGGTATCATGCAGGCAAATCTTACTTCTACCCCAAAAACTAGGGACTGATTCTGATGAGACCCCCAGAAGTAGTGTACTAATATGAAAAACAGGTTAAGTACACCCTCATACAAGCACTAAAGAAGGAAGCAAACACGCAAACAAGTCTGGAAGAAGACACCTAATCGCTCAAGTAAAAACGAGTCAAGGACTAGAAGTGTCTTCTGCTCTTTAATTTGGCAATTAGAGCCCCTGGCCCAACATACAGTGTTCATAAAACCCTCCAAGGACCGTGCTAGTCTGCCACTCAGAACAGGATATCTCCCTGAACCCCTATGGAGATCATACTCATCTTTATAAGTTATAATTGATATAATGTCTTTAAAAATATGTCCACACTTTGTATGTCCCTGAACCCCTATGGAGATCAACCTCATTTATTTACTCCGTCCGTCCCATTTAAATCTTTATGCTTTCCTTTTTGGAACGCCCCAATAGAATCTTTACGTTTCCTTTTTGGTCACTCCTTTTACATTAAATTGTCCTAATTAAGCTTCTTAAATTATCTTACCCTATTACCCACCCAACAAATCTATTACCCTTCTCCCCTTCTCTCACCCCTTAAACCTCCCCATTCATGTGCATGTTCTCAGTTCATCAAAACCACACTCTTCGTCTTTATCCATCTCCACTATGTCGCCCCTCTCAATCTCTCATGGTTCTGCTGTAAATAAAATTTAATTTATCCACTTTTTTTATCTACTCCCTCTCGATCTCTCTATCCTCTCACCCCAGAGCCTTTTTGAATTCTCCATCTTTTTCCCCATTTTCTCCATCTATCAACAGTACCTAGCTACCCATTTATCAAAAAGCAATAGCTCGAAGTTGGAAGACACTACATGATATACTCGACGAGAATTAACTCTATGGACTCGAAGTTCGAAGAAAAAATGATGATTTTGTAAATTTTTTCAATTTTTAAATCAGAAGAATTGATTTTTTATTTATACATGATGTATTATTGGTTTCTCCTGCTCCCGTTTTTTAATTTGTGACTCAAGGATGCTGAAACAATTAAATTTCACAGTTAAGAGATCGAAGTGAGAGTTGGGAATTAAGAAAAAAAGTTGTTTTAGCTTGGAGACCAGTTGCACAGTGAGAGTTGCTCGGCCATCCTACAAATGTGTAGTTACTTCCATATGCGAAGGAAGGATTAAACATGGAAAAGTGGCGAAAGTCCTGAAGATATTAAATTGTACCAATAAGGGCAAGATGGGAAAACTTGATCTAAAAAATGTTCTAAAACAATGTGCCAAAAGGAAATGTCAAGATTCAACCGAGACGGAGGGAATATTATTTTTGAAGTAGATCTTGTTGACATTTTTTCTTCCTAAATTTTCCCTCTGCCCCTTTTAATCCTCCCACCTTTTTGGTTTGTTCTAAACAATCTGTGTGTTGTTTTCTACAAAGGATTGTTTTCTAAATAAATTTCACAGAATTAAATTGCTTTCTTAATCTGCATGCAATGTCGTTTGGGTCTGTGGGAAGATTAAATAGGGATGGAGGGAACAATAATTTTGCTGCAAATGTGGCAATATAGAATGCACTTGCTATAATTATAGCTCTGATGTTTTCAGCAATGGTTGTGAATTTCTTTTTTTTTTGTCTTCATTATATTCAACAGACTGGAGAGATTTGCCTAGATATATTGAAGAATGCATGGAGCCCCGCGTGGACACTACAGTCCGTCTGTCGGGCAATAATTGCTTTGATGGCTCATCCAGAACCTGATAGCCCGCTGAACTGTGATTCAGGTACTCCCCATTTTCATAAAAGTTTGACTTTTTTATTCAGGCCAAGTTTGAGAGTACCCTATTGTGTTTCTTTCTGAAGATATTTCCTAACAGGAAATATTGTTGGTTTGGAGCATATATCAAATCAATCATACCAACATAGTGAGTTTACTAACAACATGTGAATGTGATAGAGACATGGGAGATACGCCTATTAAATATTGTAATAAGGTGTATAAAAGAAGGAATAAAAAGGGGTAGTGAGTTAGTTAATTAGCCCGTTAACTAATTAGTATTCTATCATAAAAAGGGATAGAATACTAATTAGTTAACGGGCTAATTAACTAACTCACTACCCCTTTTTATTCCTTCTTTTATACACCTTATTACAATATTTAATAGGCGTATCTCCCATGTCTCTATCAGAATGTCTGTAACAGTCCATAAGCCATAACAATGTTCTTTGCACTCATGCATGCTCAATCTTCTGGATTAGAGTGCTTCTTTAAAGTTCCTGAATTATGAATGTGATATATCCCTTTACGGTTCATATGGATAGAGGTTTTACAAAAATTGTAGGGGTGGGCAAGGTCTGGAACAGTTCAATAAATTAACAAAGCCCGTAATGTACCCGTGAAGTTTCTAACGGTTCGGTACGGTTCTACGATTAGAACCATTCGGTACCATGCCGTTTTGAAACGGTACGAAACAGTACAATGTCAAACTAACGCTAAAATTTTTGAAAAAAACTTGCAATTAGTAAATTCACCATACCGGCCAGTTCACATAAAATGTTGATAAAAAACAAAAGAAAGAGCACATAGTAAGCGCCAGGAAAAATTCAAGAGGCTTACATTTTTGTTTTTAAGTTTGCAAATACTCAAATGAAAAGTATAGCATAACGATGATACACCGTAACACCGGATATACGTCATCTTCATTAACTTCACGTGCAAACTTAAAAAGAATACCATCAAATTGTTGAATATTATAGAAAAACCCATCATCATTCTTCTTTGTTCTAGGTTGCATATTAGTTTTAATACATAATTGCATCGTGGAAATTAAGATTTAAATCATATTAATTTAGTTGCAAACTTGCAAAATTACATAAACATGATACAACAAATAGTCATATACACTACATTACTGGAAGTTAGCAATCATTAATTATTTTTAAAACTTTAACATTTTATAAATCTATACTAAAATATAACATAAATTACCTAAAAGAAATGTATAACAGAATTTGTATAAACATACACATTTAGCTATTTTAATGATGAATGAAACCATACTTGGGCTATAAAATTGTTGGTCCAAACAAGATATCTTTTGGGATGGAAAAAAATATAAAAATACCACATGTATTAATTTTGAACGGTCTGGTATTTTACGGTTCTCAAAATTTAGAACCGGTCCCGTACTCGTTTGAAACGCTATGGTTTCGGTTTGGGATAAAAATCTATAAAACCGTTATAATACCCGATATATGTTTGGTACCGTTACTGGCCGGTTCGGTACCGGTTCGGTTTTTATGCCCACCCCTAAAAAATTGAATGATTAAGATGGTATGAGCTCATATAACATTTCAGTCGCTTTCTATGCGTTGTTAGAAATGTTTAGTTTTTGAGAGACTAGGAAGTGTGAAACCCTTCATCATAACAGGCTCCGATGATATGGGTGGGGTCTGTGTAGGGAAAAGGTGTACAGTACAGAGAGAGTCTTATAAAATCCACGATTTTATAAAATTATGAATGGAAGCATTCTTTTAAGCAATGTTAGGAGTTCAGTTTTTAGATGGAGTTGGAATCGAAGTAAAGGAGTGGTTCTTTTTTAATTAAAAAATCACCTCCAAAATCATCCCACAGACATTATATAGATAAGGGTTGGATAACCTGGGTGGGGGCTAATGATTTAGACTGCGGAGTTAGAAAAACAAGCTCAAGCTGGTCCGAACTATATATTTTCGTGCTTAAGATTGGTTCATGAGCAGTTGACTCAGATTAGCTAAGCTGAGACGAATCCAAGTATTTGTCGAGCTGATTTTGAATGCCTCATTTGTAGATTGACTCACTTAGCACCACTAGATGCGGCTTAGTTCCTAAGATTACAATTACACACACACACACATTCACAGTTTCACACAACAAGCACACTCACACACTCATGTACTTTAACAGTTGCATTAATTTTCATAATTTTTATTGGTTGGTTATGAGAATATAATTAATTAGATGAGAGAGAACATATCACAATTTCACTTTTGATATAATGGTTAATAAAGAAGCACATATAGATATATAATGAGATACTGTACTTGTTGAAACCTTTCTATTTTACACGCACAGCAACGGATTCATTTTGTGGCTAATCCTTCCCTTTATGGCATCCCATGGCAAATTGAACACAGGGAACCTTCTTCGTTCCGGTGATGTAAGAGGATACCAATCAATGGCGAGAATGTATACTAGGCTTGCAGCCATGCCTAAAAAGCGCTGAATTGATGCTACTACAATCTTTTATGAAGAAAGTCTATCAAAAAGTGGGGTTTCATGCTTGATGAATGAATGTGCAACCAACTATGGATAATTACTGTAAAATCATCAAATGTTTGTTGTGTGATAGATTAAGCAGACCTTCTTGTATAAACCGTATATTAATCAAATTTTCTGTTATTTTATTATATATTCCAGTCTGGTAGCGTTTTTCTTACTTGGACTATATTGTAAATCCATTTCCTCTTGCAGAGGGACTTTATCAAATGGTGCACGAAGATCATTATATAAGTTATGAAATAAATTATTAACATAAGAAAATTGAGCTCTTACAGTCTTACATAAACTGATAAAAGCATTCTCACACTGAACGACTGAAGTGTTTAGAACGGTTACCCCCCTAAACGGTGCCCTTGTTAATTATTTTTTTGACAATGGTTAAAAGTTGTTTACCATATTTCTCTACCCTGCTCTTTTTCCTTCGTAAAATGATAAACAAATTGGGCATGTATTAACTTTTCTTTAAACTTACTTGATAAACAATTGTAAGTTAAAGCCTATGTTTAAAAAATCAGACTGGGACCCGGTCACATGATCAGGTCATAGGTCAACCTGGAGTCCTGGACCCAGATGGTCAGTCCGATCAATGCCTAAAAATTGATCAAGAATTATAAGACCATATAATAAATGGTACTACCTTCCCCTAGGGATGGACCCGGTCCGGTTCCGGGCTGGGCCTGGGGCTTTTTTCAAATTGTTGGGCCCGGATTCAGTCCGGATTGATACCGGGTCTGGGCCTAACCGGGCCAGGCCATGTCAAGGTAATATTTTTTTGCTTTCTAATTAACCCCCGACCCCCCCTTCAACCCCCCCCCCCCCCCCCCAAACACCCAGTCCTAACCAAGAAAAACAAAAAAATTGAAAAAACAAAAAAAAAAAAACCGGGCCCGAGCCGGTTCAACAAATATAGGGCCCGAGCCCGGCCCGCCCAACCCTCCCCCACCGGGTAAAAGCCCGGGCCTGGTTAGCACCAACCGGGCCGGTCCGTGCCCGCACAGTGGCGGGCCAGCCGGTACCGGGCCGAACCGAACCGGTTGGGTCCATCGGTCCATCCCTACCTCCGCCCCTAATATTGAGACAGAAGATAGTTGTGTGATTTTTAAGGATAGTAGAATTAAGTAGTTGATAATGAGTTGATAAAGTAGAAATAAAGTAAGAATGAATTAGAGTCACACAAATGTTATCAAATATGGTATGAAACAATAATAGTGGGACATCCAAAAATAAAAAAAAATGAAACAATTATAGGACGGAGAGTAGTTATTATTCATAATAATCAAGTAATGGTAATACTTATTAAGCATTTAAAACACTCATAATATTCGAAAATACAATTTTGATCCTATTAAAGTACATAATGACATATGTTACTTATACATTTATATAATAATTTAGCATGATTTTCATTCTTAATAAATCTATAAACACATTTCATATTTCTTTTTAGCGTATTGAAATTGCAATTTTATGGGTTTAAAAGTCCTTAAAAATTAAAAAAAAATGTTTTTTAGAAAAACAATCAAAGTCGGGGTTTTCCGGGTTTTTGGGGTCCAGGCCAGGTTTTTCCGGGTCAACCGTTTTTGACTTACTGAATCGAGTTTTTACACAAGTCAGGGTTCTTGGTCGATTTTTTAAACATAGGTTAAAGCCCTTTCCATCACTGTCGTCATGTGGAATTACATTTTCTTTTCCCTCTTCATTGATATTCTCACGTGGAGTAGAATGTTATTTGGTAAGACCATTTGGAGTGGTGAGGTATTAGGAGTCAAAATGGCTAAATGTGAAAATTTTGGACTCCTAATTGTGTGTAGTGGTAGTTTAAAATAGGTATTAAAAGTGGAATAGGAGATAGAAGGGGTTATATATAGGGTGTGTTGAGAGGAGTGGAAAAAGGGCAAAAAAAAAATTGTACTACCTTGGTCACTTAAAACTTTGACAAGTTTGACCGGCACGGAGATTAATAAAGTAAAATCTGTGTGATTAAGGTTTGTGCAGAGGAGAGAATTAACTTGAACCACAAATTCTTTACTTTAAAAGGAAATTGGCAAAGTTAGTGAGACATCCAAAAAAGAAAAATTGGCAAATTTTAAGGGAGGGAGGGAGTAAAATTTTATGAAAAGGGTTGCTTTTGGTGAATATGATGTCGTGCTGACATCATCATTGCATCATACTATCCCAAATTTTTAGAAACTTGTATAACTTTTTTATTTCTTCTCCAAAATTTTCAAAATATATATCAAAATTCATAAAATTTTATGATCTTTAATATGTAATATATAAAATGAAACAAAATTCTTAAATTTTAACTGTTTTCTTCAGTCTAAAAAACGATGAAACACAAATTTTTAATTCATTGAATCTTCACAAATAACTGAATATTTCATAATCGAACTTTACTTGAACTAAGTTTATTTTTGTTAACCGAAAACATTAAAAAAATTAATGAAATTTATTTATTTTTACATTGAAATGTGTTTTTTTTATTTCACAATTATTTAGGGAAAATATTAAACGGAAAACATTATTTATAATAAATTAATTATTGTTTTACTAAATTGATATGTAAAAAAATATGTTGAGTGTATTTTTTTGACGATGCACGCATGCAGGGAAAAACAGTATTGATGGAGTCGAAACACTGTTTTCATGTGGACGGAGTCCAAATTTAACAATTTGAACTCCTAACCACTACAAATGGTCTAATGGTATCTTCGGATTGTTGGGTCAATAACTGTTCTGTTTGCGTATTGGACAACTACTGCAAACATAAAATACCATCATCAACTATAAACAGAGGTTTTGAAGTACTCCCTCCGTCCCTGAAAATACTTCCAACTTTCCATTTTCGTCCGTTCCCCAAAGAACTTCACTTTCCCTTTTTGGCAAAGAATTTGTGGTTCACATCAATTCTTACATATTTCTCTCTCCTCTTCACAACTCTTTACCACACAAAACCCACTTTTTTAATCCGTGTGACATTTGTACTACGGAAGTAAATTCAGGGAGGGGGTATGAATATTACCTATCCTTACATAGCCGCATACTCCTTACATTGAAGTCACTACAACCTTATGCACACCAAAATCCAACTGACATACGAGAGCACTTAAAATTTGAGGTCAACAGGTTTGAGGAATTTGTCAAACCAATGACTTGCTTCTTTTACCATGAAAGGTGTCATTTGATGCCCAATTCCAGGTTCGGCTAACACCTGGAAATAAATAATAATAAAATGAGAGAGAGACTGAGGGGGCGGGAGGGGGGGCGGGAGGGGGGTAATACCTTAAAATGATCACGACAATGGGCATCTTCATAAGATTGGCTAGCTTTAGAAATGGCAAGTTTTAAGCCAGCAAGAGGACATCGAGGATCTTCTTCACCTGTATGTGCATGAATTCGTAATACCCTTCAGTTGTTCTCATTATGTTGTTTTTGAAAAAAAAAACATGTTTCAACGTATGTGCAGAGTTGGACAACCAAGGAAATATTATTTTAATTCCTTCGATTCAAAATTGTTCTTGTCTTCCTCCTGTCTAGGGGAAGATATGGTCCCACTTCTGGACTGAAACTGGACCGGGACCGCTCGATTCTCCATTTTTTATCAAAATATTTTTTCCAGTTCTGAACCAGAACAGGTAACAGGAACTGCTCTGGTTCTAGTTCCTCTGAAATAGGACCAGAACGGTCAGTGCCAGTTCCTCCAAAATATGACCTGGCCGGTTCTTGTACCTTCTTAAAAAATAAGGTAAGATCTGGTGGGAATCGGATCCAAGACTGGCCCGCTCCATCCCTACCTTCTTCACTACTCTTCTAAAATGGGGAAGCATTGTTTCCTTAATACAACTGTGTAGAAACCTAACATGAAACTTATTTGCGAAGTGATGGAATCATAAGTAAATTAGTCGACATTAGTTCAATACTTGGATAAGTAGCAGCGATTAATGCATAATCATACCATTTAGAATCAGCAAAGGGCGCGGTGAAATAATGGGCAGTGTGTAGGGTGAATCGAAGTCTGATGCTAAACCTGGTGCAATTTTGTTCCAGACCTGTCCACAAATGGCAACACTGGAAAGTTGAAACTCTACAGTTGTGCTTTTATATGCTTATTATGGTCAAGGATTTGACTCCAAGCAAAAAGTGCTAATCATGCATACCTTTTCCACCACATACTTATCAATCTCACTCTTCCCTAAATCAGCCCGGGCTTCTGTAAATGGAATAAATAAGTTTCAAGGGTAATGGCATGCTCTGAACATGAGTGACTATTGAGACTTGAGTGTCATGGTTCGATTCATGTTAGCCGACCCCAAAATCTTTTGGGGATACGGTTTGGATGTTGTTGTTGAAAATACAAAACTAACTTTCAACTTTTCCCACTTACCCATTTGAGATTTGACATGTGAAAAGTAATCACATTTACTTTGTTTCCTTGATATTTGTGGAACAACTAACTGTAGCTCCTGTAAAATTTCGAAGAGGTAGTATTTACTATAAATGATCTCACCTTCAAAGACAGCCTTGATACTGTTCACTCTCGCTTGCCATTTTTCGTGTTCTATGGCCCATCCAAATCCCTAAAATTGCTAGAAATTACTCTTCATTCTGAGAATGAGACTGACTCAAAATCCACTTCCACACTGCTGCAATTACAATACTCCCTCAATAAAAAAAACTATACTCCCTCTGTTTCCAAATTCACTTCATGCTTTCTAATTTGTCCCAAAATATTGCCCATTTCCTTTTGAGGAAAGGAATATGTATGAGGTTTACATATCAACAACACAATTTCCAATTTATTAAATCGCGTCCAAGTTAAAGTGGTCAATAATTTTGGGACGGAGGGAGTGTTTGTAATATTGTTTTTTAGTATTAGAATGATGAACAACCTACCTGTACACCGATGATGGGGACAACCACTGTGTAACGACTGTCAGCTACGGCAGCAAACCAAGCATGCATACCTGCAGAAAGAAATCTTCCAAATAGAACACACGGAAGAGATTGTGAATCAGATCTTAATGGAATTTACCCTACCACCAAGTGATTCCCCTGTGATCCCTATCCTTGTCTGGTCAATATCTTTCCTTTCTGTAAGATAATCAGCCAGTTTTACCAGATCCCACACCTGCAGTTAACCATAAGCTTTTATGATGTACTCATTACCCCATATCTTTGTAAGTTCAACAAAAATATTGTATAAAAACTTAGCAGCATTACCGTGTCATATATAAATGGCATTGTATCGCCTTTCTTCCATGATGATACAAGGGCCTGCATTATTAATTTATTATTGAAAGAAAGAGCAACTACAATCAGCTTGTTAAAAGAAACATGCTGTTACTTGAGCTGAATAGTACCCTGCTTCCCAAAAATAGCCCTCTTTGAAAACATTTTTGGTCCCAAAAAGAGTCATATTTGAAGAAGTTAACGTTTATTACTCCAGCTGTCCCAAAATGAGATTCCCACTTGGACTTTCATGGCGTTCAATGTCGAATTTTGACCTTTATTATTCACAACTATATACTTATAAGCTCCACAATAAACTATAATGTCAGTAATATATATTGAAAATAAGAATTCATGAGTATTTTCATGTTAGAACTTAATATACATTTCGAATAATGATAGGAATGCGGACAATAATACTAATTATAATAATAGAATAGTATTAAAGAGTGTAATAGGGTATAAGTGAAGATTTTGGGCCATTTAGTAAATCAGGAATAATGGGCCTATTATTGTAGATAATAATAAGTGGGCTTGTACTATAAATAGAAAGGGGAGGGTAGGCAAATAGGCAGGCAAGTATTCTGTTGAGAATAAGCTGGGAGAGTTGAGGCCTCTCGAAGTGCCCTGTCTGTATCGTCTTCCTCTTTTCTGCAATTCAGTCCAATAATAGTGACTATTTTACTGTTACGAGATCAGAGTACCTATCAATGGTATCAGAGCATCAACTATCGCTGGAGACTGTTAAGCGTGCGCAGATGAACTTGGCAAGGGAAAAAGTTGCGACGAACTTGGCGATGGAAAAAGTTGCGATAAGAGAAGAAATGGAGCGTAGCAGGCTAGCAAATGAGGAAGCGTTGCTACAGATGAAAACAATGGCGGAAAACCTCAACAGAAAGCTAGCTGCGATGGAAGAACAATTCCAGACTAGACGACGATCGCGGTTGCCTAGAACGTCCCTCACTTCGCAGAAGTCTTCGCCAACAACATCCTTCAGTTCGCATATGCGAACTATTTCTCCCAGATTGTCGCAAACTGCGCAGGTTTCATCTAAATCGCGAGAAACTCCTTTTTCCAGTTCTCAGGTGTCTTCTCTCAGTCCGCATATTATGTCGCAAGTAGATGGTCCTGGTTCACAGTCGCACAGTCCAGTACATTCCAGAGGTAATTACGTTCATTCTAATGTCAACTATCATCGTCATAGTGATGAACATACTAGAATACCTGAAAGCACCGGCAGAAAAATAGATTTACCATTGTTTAACGGCGAGGGAGCATATAACTGGATTATACAAATGGAGAGGTATTTTCGGTTAAATGACATTGAAGAAGAAGAGAAGGTTGAAGCTTCTAGGGTTGCTATGGAAGATAGGGCTTTGAACTGGTTTCATTCGTGGGAGTACCGGACTGAAGAAACTAACTGGGACACTCTGAAGAAATCTATCATTCGTAGATTTCAACCTGAGTTGATTTCTTCATCCGCCAGCAGTTCACGACCAAGTAAAACTCTATCGAGAGAGGCTTCCCGTTCGCAGATGTCATCCCAAACCGCTTCAGCGCCTTCGCGAACAGTTTTGCTTAATTCGCAGACCTCATCTCTTGCGCAGTCGCGAACAGTGTCTACCAGTTCGCAGGTCCCAGTTCACAGAGCTCAGTGCGCGACTCATCTCAGTTCGCAGGACTCACCGCAGGTTTCTTCGCATATTTCTGCTTTGCACAGTCCGCAAGTGGAGTCAGTTTCATTCCCGCAGCAGTCGGTGAGTCAGCTACAACCTAACTCTGAAGATACACTCATCATTAGTGATGAGGAACGAGGGGAGAAAACTTCTGTGGTGATTCAGTCCATTGCTATGGAAACTGAGAAAATAGAAGAGGATGAATCAAAGTCTGAGAAAAAGGACAAAATTGAAATACAAAACCAAATTAGATCCTCTGCGGGGTTTGTTAGTTTGAGCTATGATCAAGGTTATTATTCTGAGCATCTGAAAGTTGCTGACAAGGTTGTTGTTGAAAAGCAACTGCACCATTCTCCTGTCACCAAAGAAGAATTTGAGGCCCATGGGTGTCCTGGGGTGGATTGTAAACACTTATTTGGTGGGGTGGTGATGTACTGGAATCCTTCTGAAATGTCTGGGACCAGTTTTTTGTGCCCTCCTTCACTTCGTTCAGATGATAGTTCTTGGGCATGGCGAGTGGCAGATATGAACAAGGTTGTGGATGACAGGGTTGACCTTGTTTCCTCTCACAATATTTCTTTTTGCTCTTCCTTTGATCTTTTTGGCTCAGAAATTAGTGAATATGCTATATCTGGAAGTAAAGCTCATACTGGCAAGGTTGCACAGACAACTTGTGTGCAGGAGCATCCAGATATTTCATTTCTGATACAACCATTTGAAATGCTGAACAGACCTTCAGAAAAAGAATCTCTTAGTTGGATCGACATCAATCCTCATGAAGAAGTCAACGCATTCTATAAACAGTTTGCTGTCTCTGGTTTCTCATCTGAGTTGAAGGTCACGTGCCCCAAATTGTCACTTATGTTGGCTATATCTGCGGTAAAGAACTTGGAGAGCAGTAGTACTAGTGAAGCAACAACAGCTCTAGATTCTTCTACTAAATCTTTGGGTGTTCATCAAAGCACTGTGAAACCGGAAGGAGGAACTTCATATGTAAGTGGGGAACAACTTGCTTTGTGCCTAACCAGAGATGGGCACATGATTTTAAAGAATATCAGCACTGGCAGTTTGATCAATTCGCAGCCAGCGCATCCAGAGAAGGATATTGAAAGGAAAGATCAAACAACACAATCTGGTCATGAGGAACAAAACAATTACAACAATCAGTGTGTTCCCCAGGCAATGAAGCTCATGGCCCCGAAATTTGGGAGGTACTGGGAAGGGAGAGGCGCGAGGATGAAAATCAAGTTGAAGATCAAGGCTCTTTCCCATCACCCACCTTGAGGACAAGGTGGATTTTTAAGGGGGGAGTATTGATAGGAATGCGGACAATAATACTAATTAGAATAATAGAATAGTATTAAAGAGTGTAGTAGGGTATAAGTGAAGATTTTGGGCCATTTAGTAAATCAGGAATAATGGGCCTATTATTGTACTATAAATAGAAAGGGGAGGGTAGGCAAATAGGCAGGAAAGTATTCTGTTGAGAATAAGCTGAGAGAGTTGAGGCCTCTCGAAGTGCCCTGTCTGTATCGTCTTCCTCTTTTCTGCAATTCAGTCCAATAATAGTGACTATTTTACTGTTACGAGATCAGAGTACCTATCAAATAATTAATGATTAGAGTACGAGATCAGAGTAGCTATTAATGATCAGGTTAACAAACTTTGACTCGAAAGTTCAAAGTAAGAACTTCACTTTAGGATGGGGGGCATATATTAAAAACTAAATGTCTTACATAAGTCAAATAGAGACATAGAGTTACAGAAAAAACCAAATTTAAAAATATAGCTAAAATTGAACATGTCTAATAGTTGTACCTAACTAAAATAAACAAGTTGTACCATGGTGAAACATGGTTCTTTATGTGGAATGGGGTTAGTATATGTGAGATATTGCTCTCATCCTTAACTTTTTCGTTGAAGAGTCGTTCATTTTATTTAATCACTTATTTATTTTCGTTGAAGGGTTACAATGAGAATCGAACATAAAACCTTTGTTCTAGTGAATCACACACCCAACTACTTTACCTAATCTTATAAGGAGAATACAAAATCCAACGAAACTTTTCCATCCCTCACCTTCAGTTAAAAGTCAAAGTGAGTTTCCTATATTATGCTTAGTAAGAGAGGCTAATTGAAAACACAGAATAGGAAAGTAGAATTAGTCTGTACATCTTGATAGGTTGTCATGCTGCTTGCACGCTCTCCATGGTAACGAGAATCAATGGCTATAGCTATATATCCCCTAGAAGCATATGCCTGAAGTATACAACGAATTATGCTTAGAATCCTCAGTGTATATCTTAATATTCCATCAAGGTATCGACCTTCACCTCAAGCAGTGGCCTTAACCATTCTTTGCATTTACTTGTGCTGTGCAAAAATACAATAGCTGGCCTTCTCGTCTGATTCATTTCTTTCATGCTCAATATCAAGACAGGCAACTTCCCCTGGTCTCCCTCCTGAATAAGGTAAGCATTAGTTATATACAGCTTCTGTCTCTTTTTTGAATGTCATCTTAGGTGTTCGGTCTCATACTAAGGCAACAGTTAAAAAATTGTAAAATTAATGTACAAGTAGTATGATTAGTTTTATTATCTTTCTTAAGTACTATTAGCATTTATGAATAAGTAATGGTAACAGCAGAAAATATCAGTTAATGGTCTCATTATATTGTAAAGCAACAGTACATCATCGAGAGTACATAAATGTTTACTCTCAGGGGATTGTAAAAAAAATCAACTGTGTACATAACTGTGAAATGTGTGTAAAATCATTTAACCATCCCAAGCTCAGGGGATTTATTGCCACAAACTTATGCTAACTGTGTACATAACTGTGAAACGTGAATATGAGAAACCATCTGAGAACTATCATCTGAAAACTATCATCCTATGCTTTCCATACCAGAGTTGAAAGAGGAGTGAAGAACAAAAAATGTTAATAAAGTAGAAGAAAAATCTCCAAAACAATTCAATTAGTTCACTTTTGTTTTAAGCAACACACATTGTCTTTCAATTCACTACTATCCATTAATCCATTACATTATATGGGGGTGTTTGGAAATGATTCTGCTTCTTTTTTAAAGCAGAATCAGAATCAGTTTTCAGAAACTGTTCTCCCCCAACTTCTAAAAAAACTGTTTCTAGGAGTAAATTAGAGCACCAGAAATACTAAAGCACTTTCACCAAACACTCCAACAGTCCAACTTCTGCTTCCTGAAGGAGCAGAAGCACTTTTAAGAATCAAATCCAAACACACCCTATATCCATCAACAGAGTAAAGAAACACAATCTGCCCCAATCTGCCCCAATGGTTTTCGAGGGAAAGGGGATGGTGGATTTTTAATTTAACTTGGAAACTTAAAAACATCTCAAAAAAATAAAATTATAAATTAATGTAAACTCAGTGTCTTAACCGTTTACTTCCTTGGTTTTTACTTCTTATTTAGTTGCAACAGTTTGACTTACATGTTCACCAAAATACGACTTTAACCGTATATATATATATATATATATATATATATATATATATATATATATATATATATATATATATATATATATTATATATATATATATATATATATATATATATATATTTGGCTAGTAGTAAGAACTGTAAGAATAATAAAAAATTCAAATTCTGGAAATTTACACTGCGACATATTTATGAACATTTGACACATTAATTTTTATACATTAATAAATAAAATCTAGAGTATTTGCCTAGTGCAAAAGTCAAACCATTGCAACTAATAAAGAATGAAGGTAGTACTTATTACCATAAATTATACTCCGTACATATTTTTTTTAAACTATGCATTCCCTCCTTTCCCACCCTTCTGGTAAAGTTTCTAACTCGAATGATTCAGATACTCTAGCTAATGAGTTAACTCGAATAGTGAATACTCCCTCCGTCCCTAAATAAAAGTATCTGTTTCCTTTTCGGGCCGTCCCTAAATAAAAGTTCCCTTTCCCTTTTTGGCAAACAAAACAGTGCAAAACAGTGCAAAACAGTGCAAAAAAGTGCTAAACAGTGTCCAAACAGTGCCAAACAGTACCAACCAAACCCACTTTCTTAAGATGTGTGTAAAATGAATGGATACTTTTATATAGGGACGGAGGGAGTATTAAAGAAGTTATATTACCTCAGTTGTGAGGTAGAAATTTTCCTCCTGGAGCAACTCTTTAAAATTGGGGACATCCTCTTTAGGGCAAGAAGCCATCGCCTGTTTAAACAGTACAAATGACATATAGTAAAGACACAACAGAAGATAACTGGGTATGAACCGTATGATGACTTATACCCATTTAAATCTTTACCTCACTAAACACTGGCTTAGGAGTTTGCTGATACAAAGGATCACTAACAGGTTTTCCAGGTATCACCGAAAGGGGAACTAGAATGAAATCACATCAAGTTTCTGAATTAGTCTCTATGTCAGATGTTGTAGTATAATTAACAATAAAGAATTATTTAGGGAAAATAAATATCCAATTTAAAGGAAAATCATACATGTTATTCTACTATAGTGTGGACAAGTGACCAGCACAAACTAAAGACACCTATTTAGGGACCAAAGAATCGTGTAGTTGGAAGGAAAAGTTTTATTTTTTTCGGAAAACTAGAAAATAGAAAACAATTTTCTTTAAATCCAGAAAATAGAAAACAGTAAACATGTTTACTTCACAAGTTTTTCAAATTTAGAAAACAGAAAATTCCTCTCCAATTTCGTAATGTTTATTCCTAGAATACTGGGGAGCACATATCCATTACAAAGAAGAGAGCAACCCTGCCACAACCCCGCATTATCATTGGCTACAAGTCCGTCTTAACCTTTAGGGTGCCTTGTGCTAACTGAAAAAAGATTGGCCATTTTGTACTAAAAGTTAGAAATTACACACAATTTGATCTGAAATATGATTCAAATATCACCATGTTCATATTTTCCCGAAATAAACCAACATAATAGTTTTTGAATAAAACAAAAAAAAAGCTTTTTTATATATATACATCATATTTTCAAGACATTAAGCCTTTATATTAGGAGGCACACTGCTATATCACTCCCACTCCTGATCTCCTCGACTCCTCCAACGTAGGACTATCGACATTGCCACCATTGGTAATCATACATATCACTAATGAACACAACTTCCAACCACTGCCACTACCAATGACCGCACCTGTCTCACCATCACCAACTACCAAGGCCACCACTGCAGTGGACCACTGCTGCCACAGTTCACCGCCATTATCCACCACCGCCCTTGACCACACCATAGACCAACCATGACTGTTAAGTGTTAACAACCACCACCACAGCTGTTACAACCACCACTGTGCTCTACACTGTATGGTGTAATCTCGAGGTGTTTCCAATTTAGAAATGTGAAAGCTAATATGCAAAACTAGAAAGCAGAAAGAAAAACAAATTGCAAGACTGGGAATTGTAGGATAGCTTAGAAGTGGAATATTCAAAACAAATTTGAATGGAAACACATTAAACAGGAACTACAAGTTCTGATTGCTACTTGCAAGAGAAATAGCTCTTAATAAGTTGAACTCGGGATTCATTTCCGTGCCAAAAGACAACATATGAAATCCACACGCATGGTACGGGAAGTTCGAGATACCATGAGGGGAACGACGGCTGAGGAGAACTTGGATGAAACGGGATCCGAGGAGCTCGGCGTCACCGGTAGGAAGGTTCGTCATTATGGACAGTGAAGGTCTCTTACAAAAAACCTCTTCAAATTATTGAAGTAACTCAAATCAGAAAACTGAGAAAAGAGACGATCGGTGCCACTCAAATGGTTAGCAGCCACTTCTTAAGCTTTATTTGACCACACATGTCATCTGACATTCTGACTATCTCAATCAAAAGTTTGGCATGAGACGGTTGTCGGTTGATAAAGGTTTATGACTAAGAGGTATGTAAAGGTATCCAAAGTTTACCCCACACATCCTGATGTGTGGTCAGCAACTCATTCAAGTGGAACACCACTTAAATGAGTTGCCCCATTTATGACCACACAATTAGGGGTGGTGTAAAAATGGGATACAACTTTGGGGTACCTTTAGCATTTTACATGACTCAAAGATGTGGATGGACTTTCAAAGAAATACTCCGTATTTAAATGATGGCTAAAGTGTTAAATAGGTACATGAACTAACTTAAAGAGTTCAATTAGCCCCTTATTTAAGATGTTCTGTCCGCCCGTCGCCAATTGGGGTGGTTCTCGATGGAATTTTTTGATGAACTTTTTTGAGTATCTTCTCCATTAAGTCTAGTTTACCCATATCAAATTTCAACTAAAAATTAAATCGGGAAGAGAGTCAAATGATTTTCCGAAATGTACTGCGTTGTTTAACTGCACAGTTATCTTCAAAAACTCATTTGACTGTCTTCCCGGTTGAGTTTTTAGCTGAAATTTGGTATGGGTAAACTAGACTTAATGAAGAAGATGCTCAAAAAATTTCATCAAAAAATTCCACCGGGAACCGTCCCAATTGGCGACGGCCGAGCAGAACCTCCTATATAAAGGGACTAATTGAACATTTTAAGTTAGTTCATGTACATATTTGACCTTTTATCCTTTAAATGATTACTTAACTCAATTTTAAAGAAATATAAATTCAACTATATGAATTTGTCATATATGTGAAGTGATTTTGATTATAATTCATCCAAAATTCCTATCTTTTCAAACTTGTTACTTCCAAAAAAGAAAGTGTTTCCAACCCTTTCCTTCCCTTCCCTTCCAAGGACTAATCTTGAAAATCTTCCCCTCCCCTTCCCTTCAAACTTTGTTGGAGATATTTAATTGTGAATCAAGTTTGTCATAGATTAGCTTTATATTTAATCCTTGTATTTAATTAGTGCATGAATTAGATAGCAATCGGGCCAAGTGTTAGGCCCATATAAACAGGCTAAAAGCCTTGTACGCCTAACCTAAACCTCGCCTATAAAAAGGGAGCCGAGGGTTTAGGATTAGGTTAACGTCGTACTTATTCTTCATAGCCTTACGCGCATATATTTGTGTTGTACGAGTTCACGGTCTATCAAAGAGGGTCTTACTTGATTCAATCTGTGTTCATTCTTACGTTTAATCTTCGTTGTTAGATCGTTATTCATTGCTGTTACAGAAACAGGGACTAACAATTGGTATCAGAGCCGATCGAGAGCCGATCAGAAGAACGCCTGCAGAAGACTCTGTGTTTCTTTACGTTGTTCTTACTGTCGATATTTCACTCTGTAATTTTGTTTCTTGTTCAAAAGTTGTAAAAGTTACACCCTTAGAATCGTCTTTTCAAAGCGATCAAGGGGTATACTTCAGATTTTGTTTTACGCATATTCTGTTTTCGAGATATCTCGAGTAGGGCTTGTCGACATCTTGATTTTTCACAGGTTCTGCTACGTTTTTCGAGCTGAAATCTTTACCCGAGGATCTCGACATTCTACTCTACAGGAAACTACCTTCAGATTTTGCTTATCTGATTTTTACAGTTTGCAGGATTTCGACATTGAGGATTTCGACATCTAGGATTTCGAGATCAAGATTTCGAAAACAAGGTCTCGACATCTGGTCTCGACATTTGACATCTCGAAATTAGATTTCGAGTTTTAACCTCTCGACATTTCAAATCTCGAGATCAGCTTCTCGAAATTTGAAATCTCGAGATCCTTAATCTCGAGATCTTTAATCTCGAGCTCAAATCTCGATACCGGGCCTCCTTTATCGAAATCTGAGATTTCGATATTCAGATCTCGACATCTGATTTTTTGACTTTCTGCCTCTGAAAATCTTTTGATCAATTTTCTCGAACGGTCAGTTTAGTACAGCAATGGCCTCAGAATTCAATGCGCAAGGGAACAGCAGTACCCCTCCTAGTCTCAGGAAGGGAGAATACCAAATGTGGAGAAACAGATTCCTTAATTTCCTTGAGCACAAAGAGAACTCCGCTGTGATGCTTGAATCGTTGCTTGAAGGACTAGCTGAACTCTTGATTTCAGTTGGTGGTGATCCAGAAAATAATCCTCCTATTCTTCCAGAAATAAGGAGGAAAGTGCCATCTGAACACACAGAAGCTGACAGGCTCAGGCTTCGTGGTGACCTCATGGCCAAAACATACCTTCTTCAAGCAATCCCCAATGAAGTATACGTTCTCATAGACAACATGCAAACAGCTAAGGAAATGTGGGATGGGATAGAGAAGCTGCTCCAAGGCACAAGCATCAGCCTTAAAACCAAGAAGACTACGATTCTTATTGCTTATGACTCCTTCAAAGCAGGTCCAGGAGAATCATTGAATGAGACTTACAACAGACTTGTTCAACTGGTCAATGAACTCAGGAAAATCAAAGTATTCAGGTCCAACTTGGAACTGAATATTAGATTTCTATCCAGCCTGCATCCTGCATGGGAAAAGACAGTGAAGGATGTCAGATCTCGGATTGATTTGGACGAAATTGACCTCTGCACACTCTATGAACATCTTAAGCAATTTGTCAACGAGGTTGCCTGTGCCGAGGATCATCACACCACAAACCCCTTAGCTCTTGTAATGGAGGCTCAGCCAAGAAGGACAACCACTTCACTAAAGAAGAAAAAGAAGAAGGTGGTGGTTGAATCAGATGATGACGAGAGTGATGATGACAAATCTGATCTAGAGGCTGAGTTAGCAGACTTACAGAAGAAGATGGCACTGCTTGCCAAGAGATTTGCTAAGAAGAACAGCTCCTCCAACAAGCTGAGAACCTCCTCCTCAAACTACAAGCAAAAGAACCATGATCAAGGATCTTCTAGGAAGGCACCATCAGCAGAAGAAGCTCCCAAATGCTACAATTGCGGTAAGCCTGGACATGTTATCAAAGACTGCCGCCTCCCAAAGAAGAAAGATGCTAATTTCTACAAGCAGAAGATGCTGTGGAATAAGCAGAAAATGCTGATGGTGCAGAAAGAAGAAGAAACTTCTGCAATGATTGCTAAGAATGAGAACTGGGCAGAAGATTCTTCTGAGGAGGAGGAGGAGGAAGACAACTATGCCCTTATGGCACGAGTGGAGGAAGATGAAAGAAAGGGTGATGTTGCGATCCCCGAAAGCGAATGCTCAACAAGCTCTGAAATGAAGTAAAGAAGGAAGGAGAAGAGAAGAATGAGTGGAGGAAAAAGAGGAAGGAAATCGCAGATGGCAAAAAGAAAGTTTTTGAGAATAATGCCAGTCCTAGATCTAGTTCTATTTTTTACTCTAAAGTTAATTGTAATTCCGTCTCTCCAAAACAAACTTCTAGTAGTTCAGTCTTGAGTCCCAAGCTGAATATTTCTGAGACATCTTCTAGACATCGTTCTATTTATAATACAAGTATTGCTTATGGTTATTTTGTTCCAGACCCCCATAATCATGAATGTGATGTGAATGTTGTTAAAACAAAGCCTCTCAGAAAGCTCAAACCAGAAAGAGAAACCAAGAAAGGAACTTCTAAGGGAACGTTTTGTATTCCTGATATGAAATATGCTCTTAGAGTTCATTCAAGGAAACATCTTAATCGGCTTTCTAAAGAGGAGATTTTCAAAACCAAACTTAAGAAACAACCATTCAATCACAAAGCACCTGTCTACTCTCCTCCTAAACCTAAAACGGAAAGGTGGGTCCCCAAGATAAGACCCACCAAAACTGAAATGAAAAGGTGGGTCCCCAAGATGAGACCTACCCAACCTGAAACAGATAGGTGGGTCCCCAATCGAAGACCCATCAAAAATGAATCAGAAAGGTGGGTCCCAAATTCAGACCCATCAGAACTAAAATGGAAAGGTGGGTCCCCAAATTCAGACCCACCAGAACTAAAATGGAAAGGTGGGTTCACAACATCAGACCCACCAAAATGGAAACTGCTAAGTGGGCTCCAAAAACCAGACTCACTGCAAAAGCAGATCTGGCTATTGGAGAGCCCACAAGAGAAAGAACTTTTGTTGAAAGAGCTGCTGACCTTGGATCACAGCTCAAAGCAAGATTTAGAAAGGTGTTTCTTGATAATAAGGAAGGATCCACTTCAAGTTTGGTACCTAAACCTGTTTGATTGTTTTGCAGGACGGTCATGTGTGGCACTTAGACTCAGGATGCTCAACCCACATGACCGGAATAAAGCACCTTTTGAGCAACTACACCAACTGCTACGGAGGCAATGTCAGATTCGGGAATGACGCCTCATCTCCTATTCTTGGGTATGGGGACGTCGTCTGTGCCAGTGTCACTATAAAAGACGTTTCATTTGTCAAAGGGCTCAAACACAACTTACTGAGCATTGGACAATTCTGTGACAGCGGGATGGAAGTGAGGTTCTTTGCAAAACAATGTTGTGTTCTTGACATTACAGGGAATACATTATTAACGTGTTACAGAACATCAAATCTGTACACTATTGATCTGAAGAGCGTCCAATCCACCACTTCCATCTGTCTGCTGTCCAAAGCTTCAACTGAACAGAACAACCTATGGCACAGACGTCTCTCCCATCTGAACTTCAAACATCTATCAACCTTGTCCTCCAAGAAACTTGTCAAGGGGCTTCCTCTGCTAAAGTCTTCCGCTGAAAATCATTGTAGTGCCTGCAAAATGGGCAAAATGACGCGAAGCTCCCACAAGTCAAAAACCGAACCATCATCTACACATCAGTTGCAGCTAATTCACATGGATCTGTGTGGACCTATGAGAGTCCAAAGCATCAACGGTCGCAAATACACTTTGGTGATCGTTGATGATTTCTCTAGGTACACATGGACAAAATTTCTCCGTTCAGAAGACGAGGCTGCAGAAAACATTATGATCTTTATCAGAACCATCCAGAAACTGCTACAACACAGTGTTCGAATGGTTAGAACTGACAATGATACCAAGTTCAAAAATCAAACTCTCA